TCTGAAAAGTCACAAACGTGCATCACAGAACAGAGCAAGCATATTATTCGAATATTAAATAAAATAAGGAATGGAATTCGAATAATATTGTCGAGGAAGATTGACAGCCCTAACACACACCCGACCCCACCTCTCCATGTTAGACTAGTCCCGTCCGGATAGGGCTTGAGAATGAGAATGAGCGTTTGTACCTTTATGCGAGTGGCGTGTGGGTCTGAGCAGTCATCGAACCTGATGGTGTATCCCACCTCGTGCCCGAGAAACGCCCCTCTCTCCTCTGCTACGCGGCTGGCCACCTGTGCACACACACACACACACGTTCACAGACTACAGCTGGCGTTCACCCTCACACATGAGCCGAGCAGAAGGGTTATACTTACAGAGGTGACCGCAACGCGTCGAGGCTGCGTCACGCCGATCACCTTCCCCTCCGCAGCCCAGCCGGCCTCCAGCAGATACTGACACACACACACACACGTCACATCATCAAAACCCTGCTAACTCACTCTGACTAGCAGGATAACTGAATGTTCACTGGCTACGTTTACATGCACAACTTTTGTTTCAATCGGACTGAATTCATTACGATTAGGGTTGGGTATCGTTTTGAATTTGAACGATTCTGATTCCGATTCCTTGTTTTGATTCCGGTTCCTAACGATTCCCGATTCCGATTCTTTTAAAAGGCAGGGTTTAGCTAACCTTGCTAACCAACGGTCTTTCTGAAGGAAATACTCCTTCTGTCACAAATTTTGCATTTTGCCGAGATTTCGTTATTTTTAGAAAAGTGAAGCCACACTTTGGACCGCCGACGTAAGCTAACCGCACATAAACGTTGGCATAACTCGCGCGGTTATGCCAACACTTCCGGTAGACGCTTCTTCGTTGGTGTTGTTCAGCGGTTTCTTCTTCCGCTCGGCGGACTGTGAATATCGAAATTAGGAATCGAAATTAACTTTTGAACGATTCCGGGAAAAACGAAAAGTTAGTCTCGGTTCCAATCGATACTCGATTCTCGATACTCAACCCTAATTACGATTGCTGAATCTGAATGAAGTGCGTACATGAACGCTGAACATGAGATCGGTTGGCACAAGCCTAAAATCGGGACATGTGCACACTGCACCAATATACAGCGATTCCCACTGTTTGCGCATACTAACCATTCTCCTACGTTGGCTCTTTATTTGTGTAGGTAATCAACTGAGGAAGTTTCATTGTAATATCTATTATTTACAAATTTTACCCTATTCACCTGTAGTGTCTCGCCTTAAAGTTAGCTTGCTATTGCTAGCCACTCGAAATTGCCTAGCCTACCTTTAAATGAAAGTGGAAAATATAACACAAAAACACAATTCAAACTGTTAATAAAACTGTAATAGTATCTCAATGATAACAGCAGACTTTATATTTATCCATTTCTGGTCATAGTTTGGAGAAAATGAACCGCCACATGTGCAAACGAACCGCAAAACCAGTCGTCTGTGGATGAGAGTCTGAATCAAGCACTGGTGGGCTGCTGTCCGGTGACACACACACAGTGAACGGAGGATTATGGGATGACGGGACACTCATTTATAAGACACTTTATTAAAGGTGCATTGCGCAAGTCTCTGAGTTTTTACAGAACTACGCCCCCTCTGGCAACAAGGGAAACTGCAACCAGTTCCTGCACTTCATACCTCACTATATATTTCAACATCATTACACATGCGCAGTCCTTTCAGTTTCGGTTTTCAATCCATTTAAAGGGTTAGTTCACCCAAAAATGAAAATTCTGTCAGTATTTACTCCCCCTCATGTTGTTCCAACCCCGTAAGACCTTCGTTCATCTTCAGAACACAAATGAAGATATTTAAGATATTAAGATCGCTCCTGCATACAGTCCGTAGGCTTCTTGAGGGAATGACAATTGCTGGCCTTGAAAAGTCATTAAAGACATCGTTAAAATAGTCCAAGTGACTACAGGGGCTCAATCTTAAGTTTATCAAACGACGAGAACACTTTTGTGCGCAAAAAAAAAAAAAAATTACGACTTTATTTCAAGTATTCACTTCCTTCTCCATGAGCCTGTAAGTCAGTTAACGTAGTGTGATTGCGTAGAGCTACGTCACACGTAGGCTCACTATTGGCCGACGCTGGTCATGTGTGTGATGCGTGTGACGTACAATAACAGAAGCTTACACTATTAAACTAGTAACCTGACTCGAGGCAGAGAGAGAAATAAACGAACAGTTGAAATAAAGTCGTTATTTTTGTTGCTTTTTGCGCACAAAAGTGTTCTCGTCGTTTGATAAACTTAAGATTGAGCCCCTGTAGTCACTTGGACTATTTTAACGATGTCTTTAATGACTTTTCGAGGACAGCAAGAGCCAGTCCCTCAAGAAGCCTATGGACTGTATGCAGGAGCGATCTTAATATCTTAAATATCTTAATTTGTGTTCCGAAGATGAACGAAGGTCTTACGGGGTTGGAACAACATGAGGGTGAGTAAATACTGACAGAATTTTCATTTTTGGGTGAACTAACCCTTTAAGTGTTAAGTGTCCTCTCGATCGGATTAGAAAAGGAATAAACCGACCCTTTCCATTCTGATCGATTAAGGAGTTTACATGAAAGCTTTCCAGTCCGATTGAGCCGTCAACCCGATTACTAACGGATTATTTGTTTGCATGTAAACGTATATCCACTGACTGACAAACCTGTGGGATTTGTGTGCTTTTCCCAGATCCTGTTTCTCCAACAATCACCACAGTCTGGAAACTCTCCACCACATAGAGGATGTTGTTTCTGTGCTGGATATGCAATCAACAAACATCATTTATAAATACAGAAAAACTGAACTCAATATTGTAAACAGTACAGTGTTGGGAAAAGTTGCTGTTAAAAGGAGTGTTATAATATTGTCTTACTCCCTAAAAAAGTAACTAATTGCATTTATGGAGAGTGATGCGTTACATTACTTTTGCATTTCTTTTTCATAACAACAAAAAAAAAGTTCTATATTTTGGCACATGTATATGGAAGCTTGTTTCCGCCACTGAATAAAAAAAAATAATAATAATTGTGACTATTTATCTCGCAATTCTGACTTTATAATACATAATTGCGAGTTTATGTCTCGAAATTCTGGCATCTTTTCTCAGGATTGTGAGATATAAACTCGCAATTGCGAGTTATCAGCCAAAGTCTTTTTTCCCCTCAGAATAGTTTATATCTCGCGATTCTGACTTTATATCTCACAATTGTGACTTTATATCTCGCAATTATGACTTTATATCTCGCAATTATGACTTTATATATTCTGACTTTTTATCTTGCAATTCTGACTTTATATCTCGCAATTCTGACTTTATATCTCGCGATTATGACTTTATATCACCCAATTCTGACTTTATATCAATCAATTCTGACTTTATATCTCGTGATTCTAACTTTATAACACGCAATTTCGACTTTATATCTCGCAATTCTGACTTTATATCTTACAATTCTGACTTTATATCTGGCAATTCTGACTTTATATCTGGCAATTCTGACTATAACACACAATTCTGACTTTATATCTCGCAATTCTGACTTATCTCTCACAATTCTGACTTTATATCTTGCAATTCTGACTTTATATCTCACAATTCTGACTTTATATCTCACAATTCTGACTTTATATCTGGCAAAATCTCGCAATTCTGACCTTATATCTCGCAATTCTAACTTTATATCTCACAATTCTGACTTTATATCTGGCAACTCTGACTTTATATCAATCAATTCTAATTTTATATCTCGCAATTCTGACTTTATATCAATCAATTCTGACTTTATATCTCATAATTCTGACTTTATTTTAGGGATGGGACGATAACCGGTTTCACGATAAACCGTGAAATGTACTGACGGTTAGTATTATCGTTTAAAATTTAATTATCATTAAAACCGTGTTTGATTATCGCGATTTTAATAACTCACTGAATCCTGTCGGCCAGTCTGACGCAGGCGCGCGCACGCAATATTTTTTTTAATTACTCTTCGAGAAGGAATAGTGGAAGGCAGTGACCGGCTCGGGAGATTTTTCAGCCTTTTAAGAGGACCAAATCTGAGGTGTGGTCATATTTTGGGTTTTACAAAAGTCCTGAGGGAAACTTGATCGAGGATGGTCACCTTGTCTGCTGAACAAAAAGTCACTGCAATAGAAACACTTCAAATCTGCCGAGTCGTCTTGTGTGATCATCACCTGAACTCAAGGCAAGTTAACTTTGACCTTAATACCAAAACTACGTCTGGGAAACAATTGGGCACGAAATGTTGTTTTGAGTTGAAACATTTTATGTCACTCACTTGAAATAGACGTGAAGCTTCCGCGAAGAAAAGTTCGTAGCAAGTGAATTTGAGCCAAAGATGAACGAACAACTTCAAACAAGACTATTATTAAGAGTGATATTTTAAGGGGATAGTAAAGTATCGATACATCACGTATTAAACTGATTTTATTTTTACCACATAATTACGGGAACATATTGAATTGATAATGAGATTAGCTAATGTTTTAAATCTTACCTGTTTATTAATTCATTTTGTAAAACAATCGTCCAGACAAGATATATCACACCAATATTATCAAACTCTGTAAGCAATAAATCAACTATGATTTCATTTTTGCAATACAATCAAAAACCGGAGACGCAAGACGGCAAGTTGTATTTGAATGAAACAAGAGCGCGCGTCCGTTGTGATATGGATGTGAGTGTGTAATAATACGTTGCTATTGACGACGGGCATTATAAAGAAGCAAATGCCATAGAATAGAATCTTGCTTAAAAAACTGCATAGAGAGGCTTGTTTTATTTGTTGTTTGTTGATTTTCAATTATAAAACTTGTTCATAAAAAAATTAGTTCTTTTTGAGCACTTTCATAAATTTTTAACAAAACCGTGATAATATTGATAATCACGATTATTTTGGACACTATAATCGTGATATGAAATTTTCATACCGTCCCATCCCTACTTTATTTCTCCCAATTCTGACTTTATATCAATCAATTCTGACTTTATATCTCGTGATTCTAACTTTATAACACGCAATTTCGACTTTATATCTCGCAATTCTGACTTTATATCTTACAATTCTGATTTTATATATTCTAACTTTTTATCTCGCAATTCTGACTTTATATTTCGCAATTCTGACTTTATATCTCGCGATTATGACTTTATATCTCGCAATTCTGACTTTATATATGACTTTTTATCTTGCAATTCTGACTTTATATCTCGCAATTCTGACTTTATATCTCGCGATTATGACTTTATATCATCCAATTCTGACTTTATATCAATCAATTCTGACTTTATATCTCGTGATTCTAACTTTATAACACGCAATTTCGACTTTATATCTCGCAATTCTGACTTTATATCTTACAATTCTGACTTTATATCTGGCAATTCTGACTTTATATCTGGCAATTCTGACTATAACACACAATTCTGACTTTATCTCTCACAATTCTGACTTTATATCTTGCAACTCTGACTTTATATCTCACAATTCTGACTTTATATCTGGCAAAATCTCGCAATTCTGACTTTATATCTCGCAATTCTAACTTTATATCTCGCAATTCTGACTTTATATCTTGCAACTCTGACTTTATATCTCACAATTCTGACTATAACACGCAATTCTGACTTTATATCTCGCAATTCTGACTTTATATCTCGCAATTCTAACTTTATATCTCACAATTCTGACTATATCTTGCAACTCTGACTTTATATCTCACAATTCTGACTATAACACGCAATTCTGACTTTATATGTCGCAATTCTGACTTTATATCTTACAATTCTGACTTTATATCTTACAATTCTGACTTTATATCTTACAATTCTGACTTTATATCTGGCAATTCTGACTTTATATCTTACAATTCTGACTTTATATCACACAATTCGGACTTTATAACACGCAATTTCGACTTTATATCTCGCAATTCTGACTTTATATATGCTAACTTTTTATCTTGCAATTCTGACTTTATATCTCACAATTCTGACTTTATATCTCGCAACTCTGACTTTATATCAATCAATTCTAATTTTATATCTCGCAATTCTGACTTTATATCAATCAATTCTGACTTTATATCTCATAATTCTGACTTTATTTTAGGGATGGGACGATAACCGGTTTCACGATAAACCGTGATAAAATCTACTGACGGTTAGTATTATCGTTTAAAATTTAATTATCATTAAAACCGTGTTTGATTATCGCGATTTTAATAACTCACTGAATCCTGTCGGCCAGTCTGACGCAGGCGCGCGCACGCAATATTTTTTTTAATTACTCTTCGAGAAGGAATAGTGGAAGGCAGTGACCGGCTCGGGAGATTTTTCAGCCTTTTAAGAGGACCAAATCTGAGGTGTGGTCATATTTTGGGTTTTACAAAAGTCCTGAGGGAAACTTGATCGAGGATGGTCACCTTGTCTGCTGAACAAAAAGTCACTGCAATAGAAACACTTCAAATCTGCCGAGTCGTCTTGTGTGATCATCACCCGAACTCAAGGCAAGTTAACTTTGACCTTAATACCAAAACTACGTCTGGGAAACAATTGGGCACGAAATGTTGTTTTGAGTTGAAACATTTTATGTCACTCACTTGAAATAGACGTGAAGCTTCCGCGAAGAAAAGTTCGTAGCAAGTGAATTTGAGCCAAAGATGAACGAACAACTTCAAACAAGACTATTATTAAGAGTGATATTTTAAGGGATAGTAAAGTATCGATACATCACGTATTAAACTGATTTTATTTTTACCACATAATTACGGGAACATATTGAATTGATAATGAGATTAGCTAATGTTTTAAATCTTACCTGTTTATTAATTCATTTTGTAAAACAATCGTCCAGACAAGATATATCACACCAATATTATCAAACTCTGTAAGCAATAAATCAACTATGATTTCATTTTTGCAATACAATCAAAAACCGGAGACGCAAGACGGCAAGTTGTATTTGAATGAAACAAGAGCGCGCGTCCGTTGTGATATGGATGTGAGTGTGTAATAATACGTTGCTATTGACGACGAGCATTATAAAGAAGCAAATGCCATAGAATAGAATCTTGCTTAAAAAACTGCATAGAGAGGCTTGTTTTATTTGTTGTTTGTTGATTTTCAATTATAAAACTTGTTCATAAAAAAATCAGTTCTTTTTGAGCACTTTCATAAATTTTTAACAAAACCGTGATAATATTGATAATCACGATTATTTTGGACACTATAATCGTGATATGAAATTTTCATACCGTCCCATCCCTACTTTATTTCTCCCAATTCTGACTTTATATCAATCAATTCTGACTTTATATCTCGTGATTCTAACTTTATAACACGCAATTTCGACTTTATATCTCGCAATTCTGACTTTATATCTTACAATTCTGATTTTATATATTCTAACTTTTTATCTCGCAATTCTGACTTTATATCTCGCAATTCTGACTTTATATCTTACAATTCTGACTTTATATCTGGCAACTCTGCCTTTATATCTTACAATTCTGACTTTATATCTGGCAATTCTGACTTTATATCTTACAATTCTGACTTTATATCTTACAATTCTGACTATATATCTTACAATTCTGACTATAACACACAATTCTGACTTTATCTCTCACAATTCTGACTTTATATCTCGCAATTCTGACTTTATATCTCGCAATTCTAACTTTATATCTCGCAATTCTGACTTTATATCTTGCAACTCTGACTTTATATCTCACAATTCTGACTATAACACGCAATTCTGAGAAATAAAGTCAGAATTGCAGATGTAAACTAGCAATTGTGAGAAAAAAAGTCAGAAATGTGAGATAAATAGTCGCAATCACCTTTTTTATTTTTCATCCTGTGGCGGAAACAAGCTTCCATAAACGTAAAAGCCCTTTCACACGAAAATTAATTAATTAACACTACTGTTAATACTGTCACGATACTGGAATTTCTGACTTCGATACAATACCTTTAAAAATATCGATATTCAATAGATTTTGCTATAATGGCTTTCACACAGCGCCGTAGGACGGCTTTATTTGAGACTGAACTACAAAGTAAATTCACAAAGAAATAAAAACACGTAAACAGTCAGAAATAAAATAAGAACAAATAAAAATAGCACAAATGGATTATAATAAAGAGACAAATGAAATAAACAGAATAAGAGTACTGGATACTGGAATGCTTTCAGATATTTCAGTGTTGATAAATATCGCTGTGAAGACTAGGGTTGGGAATAAAAAATAACTTTAAATCTCCTCTTATCGATTCCTTTGTGTGCATTTAATATGACTTTAAACCATTCAAACGCATCAGACCGAACTCAATGATTGGACAAACATTTTTTGGTCCTGAGACTTCCACAAATTATATAAGTATATTTAATATTTAGACGACTATTGTTAGCAGGATGTGAAGACACTAGTTTCAACCAGTAAAACAAAAAGTGTTTATGACAAACATTGGCTAGACTGCTTTTAACAGCGGTCCACACACCCACACACACACACACAGTTACCTTGAAGACAGGCAGCCTCTGCCTCTGTTTCTCTATGGAGAGAGCCGTGTGCGGGTTAAAGATGATGGGCGAGCCGGTGGTCTCAGTGGACAGATCTCTCTCCTCACACACACCCGGAGCCTCTGAGCCTGAAAGACACACACAGACACACACACACCAGCCGTTCAAACACTGACAGGAGCAGCTCCATGTTCACTGTCATGCATCAGTAGATTCAGAGCATCCTGGATAAATGCTGTGCTTCTGCGAGAGAATAATCAGTCTGGATCAAACCATGTCATTCTAATGCATTATTATAGTGGGATAACTTTCGTGTATTCTGTTGCTGGTTCATGATGCTCGTGATCATGTTATATAGTCATGCAGCACTGCAGTAACACTCTAATACATCAAATACACACCAACATTGCACATAAATCAACACACAGCACAGAGATGCTGCAGTATACGCTTACTGTGGACTAATATCACCCGTCAAGATTTGTATATATGTATATATTGGTATAACATGATAGACGATATGAATTTTACCGGGTTTCCAGAATTTCATGGTGTTGTGGGGCGCCGCCATGATGCTACGTCATTGAACACGGTGATGTCATGATCGCTCGTGTGAACTCAACACTAGAGGACGACAAAGGCGAGACGAATTCAGTGCGAAATAATAATATAAATGTTAAAATTTTATAAAATATATAACAATACATAACTTAATTTTTTTATAATGATACGCTGTAAAAAATACAAATTAAAAAGCCAGTTCTGTTCAATTTTCAACTCAACGATTTTCAACTCAATAATGTATTCATTTCAACATTACGGTCACAGTCTATTATATTATCACGCAGTGAGGCTTATAAAGAAACACAAAAACCACGGATAGAAAAATGTGCATTGTGAGGGATACTCTTCGGTGGGTCGTACTGCCATTTAATGTGTTTTTATCTAGGAGAAAATTGTTTTATCTAGGAGCTTTATAAAGCTTTTTACACCATTGAAAACTCGCACAGCCTTGCTTGAATACATGTCGTGGCTGAATAGTCTATACTTAAATGTATTTAGTGTGTCAGGCTTTTATTAATCAAAACACACCTGATGAATACTTTGTTTTTCATTTTCTAGAAGTAGTTAAATACCTTGCTGTTTTTGTTTGTTTTCTTCTAATTAAGAGAAGATACACCGCCATCTTACTCGAAAAGTGACTTGAACACACCTGGAGTCAAACACAAACTTCACCAGAGGACCTGAACACGACCAATAATAATAATATAATATTTAGTATTTTACATGACTTTTCCTATATTTGAAAAATCTCATCTTTAAAAATTAGGCAACCTCATATGAGATGAGGGAAGACCTGGGGGGAACCAGTTTTGGGAGGGCGAATTAAAATCTTGATTCATAGTAGTTTGCCTTATTTTGAGTCATCTTGAGCTTCCCTGGTTGAGATGGATTGAAACATTGTCTTATATAAACGAGCACACCTGCTTCACGAACAAGAACAAATGCAGGTCTGGGTGTGATCGTGTCCGTCGGGGAATTGATTGGATGGTTGTGGATCTCTTTAAGGTCAACAGAAATCCAGGACTTCTCAATACACTCAATCAAACAAACAACTTTACTCGATCTGTAAAGCTATTAAAAAAGAGGATAAAATGTCCATCAGAGCGTGATCTGTTGAAAAGTGTGGGGCAGACAATGCCCAGGATTTATTTTATTCTCCAAAACATTTCAGCCAGAAAATAGTCTCTCTACAGCCTCGGGTACATTAATCATAACATTCGCATTTCCATGAACACACTATAAAATACTGAGAAGTATGTTACAACAACGAGACATAAGAAACTCTTTAATACATTATGGATTCAATAAAATGAATTGTACAGAATTTACACACTCCTATTGTATCTGACAGTTCATAAACAGAGTAAGACAATCTGTGTTGGAAGCTAATCGTGAAAGAAACGAACAAAACCATAAAATTAAGTTAAACCCTGCTCGATGCGGCGGCGCTCGAGACAGAAAAAGCAGAGAGGACGAACAGAAAGAACGGTTGTGAACCCATTAGCCGTGGCAGTGCACTGGACAGTATTAGCTTAAATTCAGTGACCCCTGGGGGTGCGAGAAGGTCTTGTACCCACGATGCACCTCTTCCTCAAGGCTCACACATGCTGCTGGTTACATAGACAGAGGCCTCGGAGAAGCGACTCCATCCAGCCTTTCCATTTGAAATGAAACAAAATGTCTGTCTTAGTCTCTCCAGAACTATGGGTTTCCTGCAGGTCCTCCTCAGTCGTAGTGCAGCGCCGTGTAGAATATGATCCAAACCACCTGAACACACACACACACACACACAGAGTTATCAGACACTGTAAAGCAGAGTTAGAGATGATCAACAGGAATCACAGCACACATTCCAGTCATAATCAATTAAAACAACAATTAGTGGAGTGTTTTAATTAATTCAATGTTGAAAAAATAAAATAACGCCATTTCCGGACAGGATGACTTTCCTCATTACAGTAAAATTAAGAATATTTCATACGAGGATGAGAATTTACTGGATATGTGCCATGAACATACCGTCACAATGCAAAAAACGAAATTTATAAAATAAAATAAAAATACTCTTTTTCTTACTTTAATTTTGGAATAAACTCTAACATTGCTTAATGAAAAATGTGGCAAGCTGTGCTACTCTTTAAATATGTAAAATACTCACCTAGCACGTAAAAATTAGGCTAATATTAACGTCTCATGACTCATATTACACATTACACTACCTTTCTAAAGTTTGCAGTCAGTACATTTGAGGAATTTGACATATTTTGTAATTCCGGACACATTAAATTGATCAGTGACAGACTAAAGACTATTATGTTCTAATCAGTGTTTAGAGTAACATTATAAGTAACATGAGTTATGTTATCAATTACTCTTTTCCAAATAGCTAGTAAAGTGATGCATTACTTTTAAATTTACAACAAAATATACGAGTTGCTTTTCCAAATACACAGTTTTCCCAACAGAGTCTTTCATTTATGGTGTCGAAGGGCCTTTACATTTGCCAAAAAAAAAAAAAAACATTTTCTTAAACAATCAAGCCAAGCCCAGATGAGAAAGAGGAACACAAAAGTAATGTAACAGTACTTTCAATAAAAAGTAACTAAGTAACGCATTTCTTGCCAAACGTTTTTAGGGAGTAACAACATTCTAAAGCATTACTTTTAAAAAGTAACTTTCCCCAACACTGGTAATCAAAGATATACATTTTCAAAGAAGTTCTTTCGAACTTTCTATTTGTCAGAGATGAAATGCGGTTCGTTTAGCTTTGGTCCGGCCAATTGAGCGTGTTGACCCGGCGTTGGGAAAACGGATCCCTCTGATTGGCTGTTGAGCCTTGTAAACCAGCGCGCGAGAAGAAAAACAAAAGTGACGAAGCAAGCAAACGACTAAGACGAGAGGAGACGCACAAAAGGCGCTTTTAAATCTTCCCACATCTTTTTTTGATGCGTTCCAATACACAAATATGTTCTCCTCGTGACATGGCCGTGTGTAGTAGGGCTGCGCAACTAATCACAATGAAACCACACGCCATTGGGTGAAGTCTGCGATTATACTCCGTATTTATAATTATTATATACTTTCATTTCTTCCGTGTGGGAATCTGCGTGAGTTTCTCAATTCTCACTCATGCGGCGCTAATGTCGTTATTTTTGTTTTGTTTTTTGCACACAAAAAGTATTCTCGTCGAATCTTTTTCCGAGTCATTTGGTTCATTCAACAAACGAAATGAACGAATTGACTCGGAAGAAGATTTGTTCATTTTGATGAATGAGTTTGAACGGGAGAGTCACGAACGTGCACCACAGAACAGAGCAAGGCGAGCATTTGAGTTTATAAAACTTAAACTTTGTTATTTATTTATTAAATGAGCGATCGTTTCGCTTGATAAGACCCTTATTCATCGTCTGGAATCGTTTAAAGCCCTTTGAACAGTTTGCAGTTTGCACTGAAAGCGTCTTTTGGACCTTGAACCGTTTGGTTCCCATTGAAGTCCATTATATGGAGAAAAGGCTGGAATGTTTTCATCAAAAACCTTCATTTCTGTTCGACTGAAGAAAGAAAGACATGGACATCTTGGATGACATGGGGGTGAGTAAATTATCAGCAAAAGTTTTTTTAAAAGTGAACTACTCCTTTAACGCTTTGGACCTCCATGTTATTTTGGCTGACCTCATAAAGCATAAGTCCAAACACAGTATAACAGGTTTAGCAGCAGAAAGACAAATATAACTACCAGAAACAAAGCAAATGAAGTCATGAAGCCTTCTTTGGTGAGCTCCCATGTCCCGCCGTACTCCTCCTCGTCCACCTGCTGGAAACTGCTGAAGTACACGTACAGGACGCCTGCGTTGATGACACAGAATCTGGAGGACACACACACACACACACCACTAAAGCTCATGCATGACTGTATGACGTGATCAAGTGTTCAGGTCCAGGACTTCAGTACTCACATGATGATACCCAGAAACCCTTTCAGAGGAGCCACGCCCCATATTACGCCCAGTATCACTGCGATGATCTGCCGGAACCAGTAGACCACGTCTAAAAACTCATCCTGCAAGGAAACGACAACAATTAAGGAACAATACACACGCATTAAATTTTTTTTTTTTTCCCCTTTCGTTTTTAATGCCATTCCAGTTTCTATGAGAGCAAGGTTTAGTTATTCAAAACTATAACTAAATGTGATGTTTATTAGTTCAGAGAAAAAGTTCCTCAAAGGAAGTTCCTCAGTAAAGCATGTTTAATCAGAGAGACCGTCCAGACAGCTTTAACGGACACACACACAAAAATATGCCAAATACCCCTTTAGTCGATATCCCCGTAAGCACAGAAACATTAATAAGCACTAATATAATATAGAGCATTTATGCAGTGCAACCTGGGAAGTTTTTTGATACCTGAAAATCTTTGTTTACAAGCGCACACGGGTCAAAAAAAATATGAAAACGATAACTTTTTGTGCATTTTTTCTGACTGGACCAATAGAAAAAAACATGAGCCCTGTGATATTGAAGGGCAGGGGCCTGTTTCAGAAAGGAGGTTAAGTGAAAACTCTGAGTATGTTAACCCTGAAATGAGGGAAACTCTGGGTTTTCCGTTTCAGAAAGGGGGGTATATCAAACCCGAGAAAGCAGAGTAAGTCAAGCCCGTTTCTGAAAGAGAGGTAACTTATACTCAGAGTCAGTTACCATGGTAACTTACTCTGTGAACCTAACCTGGTCAGGAGCAGGTTTTCTTCAGTAAACCCAGAGTTTCTTGCGGTCTCCTCCCCTTTTTTTAAAGAGGAAGTGCTGTTTAAACACCAACAATAATACTAAAATGTATTTACACGTTCTTTAAGGAATATATATATATTGTATGTCCATGGTTTAATTGACTAAATCTGTTTTGCAGCACTTTGCCAAAAAATAAAAGGATTAAAACATTTGCTAAACTTTTATTTGATTACCACTGTTTTGGATAATATATTTCTATTAAAGGGACTCTGTGTAGGAAATACCCCCATCTAGTGGTTAAATAGTATTTTGCATTCAAACGAATTTTGC